TGCAGCAGCCCAAGCTGTGCTATGATAAAGCAGCATGCTGGGGTGACAGGCGACAATGATTTTTGTCTGTTGGGTTTCAGCTGAATTGTTTTAAGAGCCATGCATTCTTGTTGTATGTAATGTCTATTTCTGACTGATTAGGCAGAGCTCTGTCTTGTATGCCATTTCCCTATTCCATACACACCTGTAGCTGCAGGCACTGACATGTTAGGCAGGTGACAGTTGGTGACACCCTTATCATGTCACTGCAATGTTTCTTTGTCACTGCCTGAGTCAGTGGCCTGACCTTGATGGCACGTCTGGGCCTGCTGTTGTGTGTAAGACAGCAGATACTGGCACCTCCCTGCACGCCTGTACCCTTTGCATATAGACTGTGTGCCAAGGTAAGGAAGCACTCCTACGCCAGAGATCCAAGTGATTACCTGGTCAACGGTCCTTCTGGGAAGGAAACTTGTCTAATAATAAATCTATACGATCACTGCGCTTTTAATAGACTCTGAATCACACCGTTTTTACATCTTGCCAAGTGTAATCATTGTACTTGTATAACAGATGCAAAACAGAGTAAAGAATACACTTCTGAAATCCCCTACAGGTTTACATCATCTGGCTGTTTTGTGTCACCTGCTGTAAATCTTTTTTTTTTTTTTTTAATATATTTTTTTTTTTTTTACTTTGCTGACTGCCATACATACTTTGGGGTTCATTCGCTAAATGGCAATCTTAGAATTCTTAATTGACATTCTGGTTTAGAATATTGGAGTAGTCTCTATCCCTGTGATTTCCACAACTTTAACTGAATAAAACTACAATGTGGCTGTTCACAGTGGTCAATATATACCCATTTTCTGCATTGTTCAATATTATCCAGAGTCCCTTTAAATCTGGGCATGCAAAAAGATTCCTCCTGCAGGGTGATAAATTGATAACCTGCTCCTGCTGTGTATAATTACAGATTAAATGGGTTTATTCACTAAAGTAAGAATATCAAATGCAGAGTAAAAAGAGCTTCTCTGTCAGATCCTTCAAGTCCAGTTACTTTGGCTTTGAAATTCACTTAGAATTTTTAATGTAGTGAATAAACCTGTGTATCTAATAATGTCTCTGAATTTAGTGCAGAAAAATACTTGCTTTTACTTTAATAGAGCCCCCACTAAGCAAAAACAAAATGGTTCTATTCATTGTAAAAAAATATATATTTAGCTTTTTATTTTAAAGAAATTAATTTTTTTTTTTTTTTTATATCCGCATTGTTACAGGGATTAGATGGGTATATCTCAAATCCAATTTCTGTGCACCCCCTCCAGCCTTTGGGCAATAAATGGTTAAATTCTCTTCCACTATTAGGATATCAAACCCTGGTTGATTTAATCTTCTCCTTTCTGTGTTGTGAGCCCCAGGGCTCTCCCTCCCTATGTGCGAACGTATTTTGTACACAGCAGATAAAAGTCCCATTCACAGAGCAGGCCTAAGGCGTAGAACAAGGACAATGTGAGGCTGATGCCCCTGCCGTCACGCATAACAGATCCCACACATGTCCTGACAGCAGAGACCTGAAACGGGCAGCCTGTCATGAATGGGTTTATTGAATGCTGGCCTTTTGTAGTAATGTACATGCCCAGAGCGAGTACGGTTACTCTGACCAGACTGCAAAGCATTCTGGGAAACACTCCTGTATGATGTTGCATACATAACTCATTTAGTTGTTACAGTTACTAGGGGTTGGAGGCGACTGGATTGCGTGCTGCTCATGAGGTGTGGGTTATAGGAGAAGTGGGGAACTGGAGTGAGTTTGCTGCTCGGGTAGCATGGGGTTATAGGAGGTGTGGGTGTGTGCTGCTCTGGTAGCATGGAGGTATGGGTGTACAGTGCTCTGGTAGCATGGGCTTATAGGAGGTGTGGGTGTGTGCTGCTCTGGTAGCTTGGGGGTATGGGTGTACAGTGCTCTGGTAGCATGGAGGTATGGGTGTACAGTGCTCTGGTAGCATGGGCTTATAGGAGGTGTGGGTGTGTACTGCTTCGGGTAGTGTAGGGTTTTAGGAGGTGTGGGTGTACGGTGCTCGGCTAGCATGGAGGTTATAGGAGGTGTGGGTGTACGGTGCTCGGGTAGCGTGGGGTTTTAGGAGGTGTGGGTGTGTGCTGCGTGGGTAGTGTGGGGTTTTAGGAGGTGTGGGTGTACGGTGCTCGGGTAGTGTCCATGCCTTTTTTATTTATTTATTTTTAATTTTTTATATCTGCAAGGACACTCTCTGCGCCCTGGAAAAGCTTCATTAAGATTTTGGTACTTGGAGTCTCTATAGTGTCGGTATTCCTGAAACTATATAGTTCTGAAACCGCTGTTTACTTAATGTTATAAAAGTGTGTGGTTTTTATTTTTCTCTCTCCTTGATTTCAGTACTGTGACTGACTGGCCCTGCCATGGCTG